ATTATGTAGCGCAGTTATCACACAGCGTTCGCGAGCAGGCACGTTGCTGCTTTTTGGATATGATACGATGAAGTGGACACGCATATGCCGGAAGGGAAAATCTAATCCGCACTCGACTGAAGGAAAGATCCGTGCCGAGTTTGCAATTAGAGCCCCCCCCCGCATCAAAAGAGCTCGTAAGCTCCGGGGATGAAAGTCTCGGGACAAACTACTGAAGTAGCGTTTATGTATTTTAAAACGGTAGAAGAAAAAAAATACGCTTTTACATATGGGTTCGTCGTAAATAATTTTACTGGCTCTCACAATTCCGCCGAGTGCTGTTGACTCGAGCGTACATAAGTTTATTTTTACCGCGCGAGCAACCGCAAGAATGAAGCGCTCGCGGTCGTTTTTATGTCTTCAATTAATGAAAATCCACCCCCCGAGGACGACGTTGAACGAAGTACTACTCGCGCTTTTTCTAACTACTACTTTACTCATATTGAATCTGAGAGTTTTTTCTTTTTAGTACGCTCGGCATTGTTACAGAACTTGGACGCTTCTCTGGAGTAATCGTAAAAAATAGGTGATCTTTTTTAATTGAAGAAGAACATTGGCAGTAAACAAAGTAATGAGCGTAGGAGGCTTAATACAAGGCTTAATGCCGGAGTTAATGTTATTAACAATTGTAAATAGACGACGATCGTTTACTTGATTATACCTTATTGTTGCCACGATTGATATATGTAATTAACTAAAGTCCAACACAGCGCGAAATTTTGCGTGGATGCTTCTATTTCCAACCCGTAAATACTGTAGGTCAAGGACTGTTTTTCGAAAGGATAAACACGCGGGAAAAATCGTTACCGCTTTTTGCGAGTACAGATATAAATTACCCCCTTCCACTCTCTGTACTTTTTAAAGAGACTGTCCATAAAATGAGTGCGAAAAAGAAGAATAAAGAAAATCTTCGAGATTAATATTGTAAGATTTAACGCGAAACGCTTTACTGCAATAATAATTCAATACAATGTTTATTAGGCCGTTAAATTGTTGAAAATAAAGAGGTAGATGCAACGGAATTGTTCATCAAAAGGAAACACTCACAGGATGAGCAATTTTTTTATAAATCTCTCCGCTCTCCGCACGTTTTAACGTATGTAGCTTATGTCGCCTTTCTGGCTCCGAAGAGCTCATTTCATTCAAGAGAAAAGTAAGCGAGAGAAAAGAAATTCTCGCGAGTTAACGCTGTGAGATTTACAAAGTTTTCCGTCGTAGTCACGGTCGAATATTGCGTTTGCTAATCCGGCATTGTCTATTGTGATTTAACGTACCGTTCATCGAGCCACGAGTCAAAAGGGGAGACAAAAGAAGGAATAAAAGTGGATCGAGGTTGTGTCGGAGTGTGTAAAAAGATTTCGCGTTTAACGTATCGTAACGTATAACGATCGAGTCTCTCCTTCGAAATTTCATTTCGGAGATAGGCATCTTGAGAACGATCGCAATTAATCGTAGTGATTTAAAAGGCGGGCACGCTCGGTCTCTCGATCGCGTTGAGTGATTCCTGAATCCGGCGCGCACTCCCTTAATTCTCATTGTTAGAAAAGATTAATCGTTCGTTCACGAGGACAAAGGAGAGATCGTCACGAAACAAGCGTTAACGTCGCGCACAGTCGGTCTAGAATCGAGACTGTGTGGGGGGGATCGATGCCTTTGACCAACGGTGCCGTCCCCCCCCTCCCCCCCCGCCTCGGCCGCTGAAGCGGCTTTGCGTTATTTGATTTAATTATTAATCAGCCGGTTCTAGACCTTGCTAGGGAAGTGCAGTGACACGCCTCAAGAACGAGGCGCTTTTTCAATCCGATCCGATTCCGCGATTGTCTCCGCATATGACAAATTGAGCGGCGAATATCGCTCGTTCTTGATCGATACTTCTCCGATTAGTCGTCCTGATGGCTTGAAATCGCGGGTTCGCGCTCGTAAATCTTGCCGCGGGAGACATTATTCTAATCTGGAAAATCTAGGCCATCGATGGCTTTGCAATTTTAACGAGGGCTCGCAGTTTCGGCGCGAGTTTCGTTCTCGGCTATCCGGCGGCAGCGCGGCTACAGAGGTTTAAGAAATTCCATTTTGTTTTGCTATATATAGCAATCGCGTATGCATATTCGTTCAACTTGAAATGGGCAACTTGTTTCTCGGAAACTGATTTTCATCGCTTAAAAATCGATATCCGTCGCTATCGCGTCGAGATGCCTTGCTCCAAATTTACAATTGAAAGAAGATAATTGGCACCCAAGAAACACGGCATGTTGAATATTCGATAGCTCCACGATTTGAACAAATGAGATCGATGAAAACCACACTCGGATTGCACTTTCGCAATCACTGTTGTCTTTATTCGGTCTTTATGATGCTCCAGTGTTTCGCAAAGTATAGCGAAGGGCAGCCGCAATCATTCCCAATTATTGATTCTTCGAAAGAGGTTTCCGGGTCTCGCTCGCAAACACTCCCGGTAAAATTTGAGTGGGTGAAATGTCCGAGACGAGGAATAACGCCGTGCGATGCATGTGTTTGTGATCACGCAGCCAAGGAGCCACGAAATTAAATCGACAGAGTCGTGGATAATGTGTATTGCAAATATATATATA